ATCATCATGGTCCATGACAGGCCACCGAAATATGATAAGACGATATGAGACAAGATGAATCGAAACGCTTGTGGGGTAATTAGGTCTTGTTTGGAACAAGAGTTGAAATATGATGTGATTAGCATGACATCTGCGATGAAGATGTGAAAGATTCTCAATAACAAATATCTTATGAATAAAATGAGAGCTGAATAAAATGAGATTTGTTCCTCAGTTAAAGAAGAATCTTATTTTTGTTAGAGCTTTGAAGGCAAAAGGATTCAAGGTGACTTTTGAGAATGATGTAGCAAAGGTTACTAAAAGATCTTTGGTAATGATGAAGGGAGTCCATAGTAAGAATATTTATTATCTAAAGGGGAGCACCGAGATTGGCCAGGCAACTTCAGCTATTTCAAAGACGGATACGAGCAAACTTTGGCACTACAGATTGGGATACATAGGTTTTTGTGCAAGCACTGCGTGGGCTATTAAAGAGAGTCAAGAGTGGGAAGATAGAATTCCGTAAGCACTGTGTTCTTGGCAAGAAGACAAAGGTAAAGTTCGGGATAACCGTACATAGGACGACGGGCATCTTGGGCTACGTGCACACAGATGTTTGGGGTCCCACTAAGACATCATCACTTGGTGGTCAACATTGGTTCGTCACGTTTGTGGATGACTATTCTAGGCGTTATTGGATGTACACCATGAAGCATGAGAATGAAGTCTTATGTTGGCCTTCTTGTTTTGATGATATTTAACAAATAATTTATGACTAATGTTGTTTGTCTAGTATTTATGATTTTCTATTTATTGTAGACAAACAACATGTTGGAGGTTGGATGGAATTGTGCCATAACGATCATATCAAATGGAGGTTGGCGGAAATAGTGGAGTGAAACAATGCAATTCTAGTTGAAGATCCAAGTTCAAGCTTCATCTGCAAGTTTACGAAGAAGAGCTTATTGAAGATCAAGATCATAGCTTGGGTATATTTAGTTTAGGTTTATATTATGTGTGTTTAAATATTTATATTCATACATGTTTGTTTTTATGTGGATAAGTTGGTTTGGTTTAATTTCATAGATATGAGACACAAATATATTCATATACATACTCATATCTTTCATATTCTATTGTATTTGTGAAAATATTATATTCATTGTTTATAGACTTCATAACAATAGTTTATATCTTCCTTTAAGTCTATAAAATCAGTTTATAGAGTTTCAAAACATGGTTTATGTCCAATGTAAAAAACAAGTGTTTTTCATTTACATGTTTTGGACTATTTTGCAAAATGATGAGATTTCACATTTGGGAGATGCTTTTGAAAACCAGTTTTTATAGCATGTTTATTATCATGTCTACAATTATCTTGCGGCGGAGGTGAAATCAAAGGGTAAGGTCACGAGGGAGCGGCGGCGGCTTCAGATTTGGGAGGAGGATGGAACTAGAGCGGTTTGGGAGAAGAGAGAGATTTGGGGAGATGGAGAGATAAGGTCACAAGGGCAGGATTAAATCCGGGTTTTTTTTTAAATACCACCCTATAGCGGCACGAAACTGGAGCGCTGACAGCTCAATACAGTTTCTATATATTATATATATATATATATATATATATATATATATATATATAATCTAAATTATATATATATATATAGATATATATATATATATATATATATATATATATAATGTGTATGCTTGGTACCAAACACAAATTTTGTGCTTGGCAGTGAGGTGACATAATCTCATTCACTCACTCAAATGGGGGACCACATTCACATGGGTTGAAGAGTGTATGAGCATATATTTGTCCGACTCTTACACCCTAAAATCGACTACTAGCCGCTAGGACTTGATGGCTCCTACCATCCTAGAGAACACACTCCGGTGTCTCTTCTGATTGGAAAGCCGATAGCATAACATAAAGTTGTGGGTACTTAACAAGAACACACCTGAGAAAGATGGCGTCAGTGTGTTATGGCTTCACGATGCTATCTTGTCTTAAATATAGTCCTATTGTTGAAAATCGACTTAAATAAAATTGTTGCTAAAGGAACTCAAGGACAAGGAAAATCTACACTACTATCCGGTAAAGGGTCACTCTCGAAGACAAATTGTTTGAAAAGCAGTTAGTTATGAGGAAAGTAAATTGCAATTAAATTAAAAGAATTAACTTACAAGTCCGAATTACATTTATAATAAGCATCATTAATTAATTCCAATCCTTCAATTTTTACATTAATAATAAGCATCTCTCAGTGCTTGGTTAAATCCTGTCCAGCAATAATATTTTGCTTCATAGCGGCCCCGCGATCATCTTATACTTTCTCCAATCGGCCAGCTGATATTTTTCTGAACACCATTTCCACACTAAAATCGAAGCTTAATACGAGTGCCTTCAAGTTAAGGTGACTATATATGGAACCGATCTTTTTCCTTAACTTGGCTCGGTCAGTTCATTAGTGGCATGCATGAGCTTCGGTTATGTTATGTTACGTTACTTACAAGAAGTACCTGAATTTCGATGTGTCCATTGCACGTACGCAGTTCTCCCATGGACGGGCCGATATTATATTGTCTGTGAAGCTGGAAGTGCGATCGGCCTCACAATTTTGGGATACGGACGTCTGGCCTCGGTCCTCTACGACCCTTCCCTCAAGTGGATCTCCTTTTCCGTGGCTTAATTTGCAAAGCCGGAAGATCCGTCTTACCCTCCAGTCTTTCTGAGCAAGCATTTTCCGACCTCGGAACCTATGCTATAAGTATCAAAGCTCAGACCGGGATGAACTTCACGGCGGAGCAGGCGTTCATTGTCCTCACCTATTAGCTAGCATGTCCCTTGGGTTTTGTGCAAGGCAAATCGGCACCCATTCCTTTTTGCCTGAACCAGGTGGCAAGTCGAAACGCCAACCTAGCGGGCGAAGTAAAACTTTCGGCTGCGACTTCTATCCTTTCAAGCTGGATCGATGGCTATCCTCGACATGCAATAGTCCCATTCGCGATCAGGGCAAGTTCCAGCCATTGTTCCTCAGGAGTACTGGCGGAGCGGTAATTTTCATCTGCTGTATGTGCTCCAAGGATTTAGACGCCCTTTTCATTTACAAGCCTGCAGATGGCAAAGCTCTCTCACACGCAGCATTTCCCTATTCTTTCCTTTTTGTTTTTTGTCTTACTGCTTCTCGTCCGTTGTGGATTAGCCCCAGCTTAATTGGGTAACCGCTCCCTGCAGGGATGAAGCGTTGTGGATTAGCCCCGGCTTAATTGGGTAACCGCTCCCTGGGATGAAGCGTGATAGCTCGAGGAACAGCAAACGATTGCTAAGGGGCTCAACTTAATGCGAAGGGGCAAAAGCGTGCCGGCACCTAGTAATTAAAGGTACTGGAAGGCAATCACATAGTCGTCAAATTAGCTTGACAGATTTGTCCGATGATACGATGCAGATGACCGGCTCCGGGAAGTCCATAGTAAATGGTCAACTATTGACATGCCCTTATTGCGCGTCTAGCTTTCCTCGTAACCCACCACCCTCACAAACGGCTGGTGGAGAGTAAGGATTGAAATACTACTCAGAAATCCTCCAGAAACCTCAACCACCAATCCGGTGCAAATGCTTCGTTTCGTTCCGTCGTCTCCTTCCCCTATCTGATCTCTATAAACCCCAGACCCACCTTTAATTGTTCGTCAAATAAAAGCCACACCGATGCCGCTAGTAGCAAATTAAGAACCTTCCTCTCAGGTCTTAATAATAAGTTTGAGTTTCTCCGGGGCGGCACGTGTTCGCCTACCTCATCTTTTCCCATTGATTCCAGTAGCTAGCAATTCCCTTCTTCCTTCATTTTGAGGCCTGATCACCTCCTCCTCCCTCTTCCACCTTTGATCCCTTTCCGATGGAGAAGCCAAAATCTTTGTTGAAGAGGTATCACAATTGGCGAAAGAGGCTCGAGGACTAGAAGAATTTGATCAAAGATGGCGGCCTGAAAGAAAATTTCCATGTGACCTCAAGTTACCGAATCGTGTTTGCCCATGATGTCCGAGAGCTTTTTAAGGTTTTGCGTACGCATATCTATCAATCAATAGAGATAAAAGCAGACATGGTGTGGATCTTTGAATGTCGGTTTCTACTCGGACGAGAAGAAGAGAGCAGGGCACGTGAGGGGGTTGTCTGTGGATGCATACTGAAAAGTTTTTGCTAGTGACGTTTTGTTTGGCTTATAACAAAATTTATCCAATGGCCCACAACGCGTACCCAGTTCAGCCGGATGGCACCGTAGCCGTAGGCGCTCTCTGCGACAGCCTTCCGGGTACGCTTTAGGGCTTCTTCTTCGTATTTGATCTGGCTGCTCTCGCGGAAGCTCACGACGGGGACTCCCCAGATGGACCGTCGCCGTGCTCTGGTCACGCATCACTGTCGGTCTGGTAGAAGGTCAAGTTTGGGCTTCAAACCAGTTTAGAAATTAGTCCAAACTCCGTTCAGAACTAAATTGGTTCACTTCCCACTTTGCCAACTAATCCAAGAATCGTGATGGTAACATCCCTGGGATATTTCCTTGTCTGTGTCGTTCTAATAAGAATCGTGATCATAAAAGTTCTGAGCCTGCTAGGAAAGAATGGGGTTACAGGAGTTGCACCATACTGATATCTGGATATCGGATGATTTCGACTGCCAAGGTTGTTGTGGGTGCTGCTGAGTCTGGCAATTATGTGTTCATTTGTTCTCTGTGGTCTGTTGTAATTAATCTTTCAGCTCAATGAAATAGAATCAATGCTCTTTTTCCCCCTCTTTGTTATTATTGTTAGACGACGAGAATAATCAGGGAAATAATTAGAACCGAAATGATGACATATTTTCGTAAGTGCTCAAATTTAGGTATTTCAATAAATAACTAGCATCAAAAACCATATGGACAATTCATCAGGCTCCTTGACGACATGGTAGTTAGTCCAGTATTAGAGCATACAGATAATATAGCATCCAAAAAGCAAGCATTTACGTGAAAAAAAAAAGAAATGAATGATTATTCAAACCAACATGATTTCATAAAAACTATATAAAGATTGCAAACTGTACAGTTTAAAGCTCTCTGTGAACCTTCTATAAATACTAACCATACGAGAGAAAAAAAAAAATGAAAAAACTAAAGCAATCGGTCTGGCTGACGATGAATGCAACAATGAGGGGAATTCTACAGCATTGTCTGAAAACCGAATGTATTCTCACCACTGTAAACAATATAGAGGAAACCATCTTCATCTTTGTGCTCCTCATAGAGAGCAGACATCAAAGCTCCTAACATTATCAACAAATTAATATAAGAACAGAAACAAAATTTCGGTGTATATTTGTACGACCAGTATGCCACTGAAAGCACCTGTAGTTGGAAGAATATCGTCTATGAACAAAAAGATGGCCTTTTCTGCACTGAGGTTAATTCTCTTGCGAATGACATAGGAAAACTGCCCTAGATTCAGTTCACCAGGAACCAAGAATCTACAGATCCATATAAAGTTAATGCTTTATATCAGCAAACCCATAATTCCCAAATTCATAAAACCATAAATGAAAATTTTAAACCAACTTGAGCAATGTCAATATAAAGTCAAAGTTCAGAATATGACAAGTTGTCACTTACTTTCTCCTGTCAATATTTGGAATATCACTTTTCCCCGCCTTCTCAACAATAACCTAAAAAATTGTAGACATTATTTTCAGTGCATATGATTGCACATCTACATAAAAATTGAACTCATAGGACAGATAAAAGAAAGCAAACACAAATATTATTGACTCCCATAAGATAAGAAATGAGAAACGAAAAGGCGAGGGCAAAAGAAGAAAAGAGTTTTTACCTCCTCTCTATTATCTCTTAATGGTCCACAGGATAAATTTCTCTATTATCTCTTAATGGTCCACAGGATAAATTTTTAAATGTGAAATTGTATAGAGTAGTGAAAACAACTCCCATTTAACTATGATACCCCAAATATGCACTTGATAGCATGTTAAGACCATTTGATACTCTTTAGTATATCGAGCTACAGATGAGCTAATGAGTTTAATTTCACTGTTCAAATAAAAATTACACGTAAAAATTATGCTTTAAAATGGTCTTGGTATTAGCTTGCGTGGGAAAAACAGACACAGTTTTGGTTTTGAACCAGTTTATAAAAAGAGAATACATTTAATTCCAACTACATAAGGTTGACTTGGGACACGGAGATCAACTATTTACATGAAGCCCTATATAAATGTCAATGATCAAAGAATCAAGTTTGGGAGATTTCTAATGAACCTTGTGAGAGAAACTAGAAAGAGATCTAGTATCATTCTAATGGTAATAATTCGCAATGTCATGGGCAAATAGAGATAAATGTACCCACATGTTGGCAGGCTTATACTCAAAGTAGACTGTAGATCATCTCAAGGTATGGGACTTTATGCATCAATATATGAAATCAGCCTATATCACACAAACTAATAAAATAATCAAGGAAATATTGAAGGTTTCTCGTGTATCCACAAGCCTCAGTATCTGAGATCTGCCAACAACCATGAGCCAATAATTGAGGTACAATCCTGTAGTCGGTCTGGAACTCATTCAGCAAGATCAAGAGGATTAATATTCTATCGAAATCTAGCAACAAATGGTACAGATATTCAAAAAGTTAGCGTGTAATATTCAATAGGCTGAAAGAATAGAAAATTAATAGTAATAAATGTCAGAGAAAATGTCTTCTAAACGTATACATTCCTCATATTTCTCGTATGATGGCTTCATGAAAATTTTTTACCAGAACCGTGGGCAACATCAACAAGAGAATTAAGGATATCATGTGCAAATAAATTCACATATTCCCAAAATACCTAAGATCTAACCTTAGTAAATGATAAAGAAGTAAATGGGCCAAACAATGTACAATAAGATAATAACATAATTGTAGTATATTCGGTTCAAAATCTACTACTTGATCATCCTAGTGATCATTAACTGTAAATTAGCACTTGTGTAATCCTTTTATGGATAACTTGTTCCTCATCGACTATTAGCTAGCGTTCCATATTAGCCAAAGTGCATGTGTATCCAAAAATGAAATCTAATGAAATGTAGACAATGCTATCTATTGGATTCATGAATGCTTATGCAGCCCAGAAAATAAGGTCAAAGTTCAGACAAACTTATCTAGAACTCCAAGTATTGCATGTGCTCCAATGAAAAGCAACGAAAAGGAGAAGATGCAAGTGGGTTATGATGGTCAAATGTGTGACTATTTGGCGAAAATTAGTAAGAGCCTTAAATGCCGGTTTGACCTAATTGTACTGAGAAGATATCAATTAGACCTGTATTCAAACTTTCCTCTCAAGGGTCGAGGTAACATAAGAATGGGTTAACTGGGGACAGACCCCCTGAACTATCGCCCAATTGCGGATAGAGCCCTGTAGTTCTATTGTTGCTGATAGACCCTGTGTCTCTTTCTCTGAGGATAAAAGAGGCAATAAAATTCACTCAGGGGGTCTACACGCAATAATATAACTACAAGGGGTGTGTCTGCAAATGGGCAACAGAACAGGGAGTCTATCCGTAGTTAACCCTATAGAAATAAAACTCAAGTGATAAAAATATACCTCACAATTACATTGAGACTAATACCTGTTAAGAAGACCATCCATCCCCATTCCCCACAATTTATTTATTTTTTCTTTTTATCACAAGCATTCTTATTTTCAAAAAAAGTTATGTTTTAGACCATGACATTCAATCACACAAGTGAGAGGAACAATCACCTAGATTACTAATAAGATGACACAGTTATGCAATAATGTAATGTTGTTCTTAAACAAGTGCCAACCATGAGAATCTTAGCCATAGAAATAATAAGACAAGTAAACATATAACTAAAGAAAGAATTACTAAATGGCAGAATTATTAGATTGGTATATTTAGTTGACCCATGTGTTAGATTGATACATTTTCTTACTCCAGTAACGATATATCATTGTGGAGCACGGTGACAAATACCACTGTTTTTTGGCCGGAGCCAAAATTCCTGCCAAATAGGATCATGTGCGGTGTCATGTGATAGTTGGGATCATTATAACGAGTTAAAAGGGGATTTTTGCTGAATTAGGGCTAAGAAAAAGTTAGGGTTCAAATTGCGGTGTTCTTCTTCCTCCTAAGGTTAATTTGGTGTGGGCAATTGAAATTAGGGGTTTTCCATCTCCAATTTCAATTGCCCTAACTAAATTAACCCTAGGAGGAAGAACACCCCCATTTAAACCCTAACTTTTTTTAGCCCTAAAAGGTGGCTTGGTTTTGCCGTAATTTTGACACCAGCCAAAAAATAAGGGGTATTTGTCACCATGGTTGACAAAATATATTGTGGTTAACAAAATATACACTATCGTCGTTAGAGTAAGAAAATATATCAATCTGTCACATAAGGTCAACAAAATATACTAATATGGTAATTTTGCCATTATGGAATCGTCGAGTTATACCCCAACAATACCATTCCTTAAAGCCCAAGTAAAAGAAAAAGGCAAATGAAAATGTCTTGTTATGATTATAATGATTTTCTCACAAAAAAGTCTTGCCAAAAGCTGCATACCAACATACATATTCAACAAAGAATTTCCCATGCTTACAAAATTAATCGAAAACCACCCAAACATCAAACAGTTGCTATTTCATACACACAGCACATATCTATAACTGTCAACAAAAAATACTTAATTTATGAGATATTAATATAAGAAAACTAATCACAACTAATCATTACCGGAAGCCTCTCAGGATGTTTATCCCTGATCTTTGCAGATTCCAACTTCCTCTTCTCTGCAAATTAAAATCAGATCATGGGTGAGAACAAAATGCAATCTTTCGTCAAAAGATCATCATAAATCAAAATAAGTAAAATACAACACACACAGACCTAAATCATTCTCTTGCTTGTAAGACTTCCTAGAAGTGGGTGCCATCTCTCTCTCTCTCTCTCTCTCTCTCTCTCTCTCTCTCTCTCTTCTGCAAATTACACAACCCAAATCAAGAACTCCCAGTAAAAACGACCTGAATAAAAAAATCAAAGAAAAAAAGATCAATGCGCATACCCAAGTGGGGAAAAAGTTGGATCTTTTGGGTTTGTTTGTTTGTTGAAGAGGAAGTGCCAAGGAAAGAGAGGTGTATAAATAGATGGGGAAAGAAGTAGGGAGAAGAAAAAGAATGCTTTTAAGGTTTGTATTTGGATAGAGACCGTGAAAGACAAGATATGTTTCTTTCGTTTGATACTTTGAATTTAATTTATTTATCAATTTGAATTTGTAGTCTTTTAAGCAATTTTTTGTCTCCGTCATTTTCCTATGATTAATTAGCCGTCTTGTTTTATTTTAAGTTTAAGTAATATTTATAAGGAAAATTTTCACCAAATTCCCCAACTTTGGGATTATTAGCACAAAATTATCATCAACTTCAGGAAGTAATGAAGACCTCCCCAAACTTCGGGAATTTCCTACAATTTCTAAAAATAAAACCTAAACTGTGGCAAAAATTCTTTCCAGGATTTGGTTTGGGGAAGAGGAAAGGAAAACGAAAAAAAAAGTTTGTGGGCAAAGTTTGTTTTAAGGTTTTGCTGTGAGAGATGTTGGGACAAACCCGGGGCCCAATAGAGCAGGGTCGCAGCAATAGTAGAGCAAAAGTAGAGATAAAATGTTAGACACACAGATTTACATGGTTCGGCACTTGATTGCCTACGTCCACGGGCAAGGATAGAAGAATTCACTATGAGGAGAAAACTCTGGAGTTACAATCTCTCTTTCTAAGGAGATACTCTCTCTATTTTTTCTCTCACATTCTTCTATATAAGAAGTTGTTTCTGGGATGAGATTTCCTTAAGGATTTGGAGCTCTATTTATAGTTTTCAGAAAAACACTATGCACAATAAAATAATAATAAATTACTATGTATTTACATTATAATAATGATGTGAGGCCCGCTCCTTTATCCAAAGTCAAAAAATGGCTGCTGCTTTTGGCTGAATGATTTGGTGGCTTTTGTTGTGTTAGGCGTCTGACAATCTCTCACTTGAAGATTTGATTGAGTATCAATCAATCTTCACACCATTCTTTCTATCTTGTCATCTTTATGTTGCTTATGTCTCAGACAGACCACAGGAGGATCGACACCAAATGAATTTGTCAGTATTGACTGCTTTTATCAAAAAATCTGCTAGGTTGTCTTTGGTGTGAATTTTATGCATATCTACTATTCCTTCTTCCACTTTCTCACGAACGAAGTGATACTGAACTCGAATGTGCTTGGTCTTTGAATGAAAGACTGGATTTCTTACCAAATGCAAAGCACTCTGACTATCACAAAGTAGAGAAATCTTCTTTTGTTCATAGCCGAGTTCCTCCAGCACCATCTTCAACCACATCGCTTCTTTACTGGATTGTGTAGCTACTACATACTCTGCTTCTTTTGTTGAAGTAGCCACAACTGACTGCAGTTTTGAAACTCAGCTTACAGCTCCGTCAACAAGTGCAAACACATAGCCTGTGGTGGATTTGCTATTATTACGATCACCTACATAATCAGAATCAACATATCCACTGACAATAAAATCAGATCCCCCATAACATAATGCAACATTTGAGGTTCCTTGAATGTATCTTAGAACCCTCTTTACAGCATTCCAATGCTCTTTACCATGATTCGTCATGTATCGACTAACCACTCCCACTGCTTGTGCAATGTCTGGTCTTGTACAAATCATCGCGAACATTAAGCTTCCCACTGCTGATGCATACGGTACTCGATACATCTCCATCCTCTCTTCTTCACTGCTAGGACTCATACTAGAGGATAACTTGAAATTAACAGGAAGTGTGGTAGAAATTAACTTACAATCTTGTATGTTAAAGCGTCGCAAGATTTTCTTCAAATAGATCTTCTGAGAAAACCAAATCTTCCTATTAATTCTGTCTCGGTAAATTTGCATCCCTAGAATATTGTTTGCAGATCCTAAATCCTTCATTTCAAATTCACTAGCCAACTGAGCCTTTAATTCTTTGATACGATCTTTGTTGGGGCCTGCAACCAACATGTCGTCAACATACAATAATAAGATAACAAAGTTATTTTCACCAAACCTCTTGAAATATGCACAAGGGTCTGAATTAAGTCTGTTGTATCCAAGGCTCATGATGAATGAATCAAATCTCTTGTAGCAACACCTCGGCGCTTGCTTTAGTCCGTACAGAGATTTGTTCAATTTGCAAACCAAGTTCTCTTTTCCTTTTTCTTCAAAACCTTCTGGTTGGAGCATGTAAATTTCTTCTTCAAGATCTCCATGAAGAAATGCTGTTTTCACATCTAGCTGCTCTAGATGTAAGTCAAATATAGCGCTCATAGCCAGGACTATTCGGACTGTTGTTAGTCGAACTACATGAGAAAACATTTCATTAAAATCAATACATTCTTTCTGAGCATATCCTTTTACCACCAATCTAGCACGATATCGCTCCACCTGATCATCGCCGTTTCGCTTGATCTTGTAGACCCATTTGTTTCCAATGGTCTTTCTTCCTTGTGGCAGTGACACAAGTTCCCAAGTCTTGTTCTTATGGAGAGCTTCAATTTCTTCCTGCATTGCTATCATCCACAAAGATGCATCTGTGCCATTTATAGCTTCATAAAAAGTTGATGGCTCTCCATCTTCTGTTAGATGATAGTATGCAACATTACTCTCCGTAATATACTCCGAGTGCCAATGTCACGTCCCGTTTCCCAAAATACCCGGGAATCGGAACGTGAACAAGCCTGCGACGTATTAGGTTGAGTAGAATAAATAATAAACTCTTTCTACTCAATCTAATACGCTAAGCGTCAAAAATATAATATACGAAGTCACAGGTCCCCGATCACACATAGCAAGAACATAATGAACAACTCAGAATGGAAAAGATACATATCACAAGTAGAATATCATCCGGGACACAGAGATGGGTCAAACACGCCCTTATTACAAAACGGTCCAACAAAAATATAAAATACATAGTCCAACAGAAATAAAAGGAAAGTACTACTAAAATAACTAAATCCAATATCAGACTAAAGTAAGGTTCTGCAAAAGAGATCTAGCGCTTATCAACTACTACATAAAGAAAAGTCTAAGCTTCAGATTGTTCTTCTGATCCATCTGGAAGACCTCACTGCTGCAAATCCTCTGGCTCTTGTACTATCCCGAACTGAGGCTGTCCGTCTCCTAAATCTGACGTACACCAGAGAAAAACAGGTGTACGTCAGCGTGTGCGACACACGGCAAGATCCCACAGAAATAGGAACGATCGAACGACCAAAGCAAAACAGTGATAATAATAATAATAACATGCAAATGAATTACTAATAATCTAAATGCAATCTATCACTGGAATAAAATCATCAGAAGAATCTAAGAAAACTATCCAAGTGTCAAGATCACGCAGGTAATCAACAAGGTAATCATCCAAGTATCCAAATCACACAACTAGATGGAATTAATACTTAATTACCTATAACTTGAGACGTAGTACGTCGAGCGAAATAATCCAAACAAGGAAACCCTCATATATATACCTTATGTCTCAAATTGTAGATAATTAATTATTAATCACGATAATCAAACGTCGCAACAGCAGTCCTGGGAACAGCAGGAGAATTCGGATGAGACGCTCCAAAACGAGTACTCGTTCAAAGACGAAGACGTTCCAGCTATCTTCGAGACCCTTCTCGAAAATAACAAAATCAAGCTCCCGCCCATCACGAATCAGGAGGAAGATGACGATTCTGCGGACCCAACGTACTGCGAGTACCACAGGAGGATCTGTTTTCGGTGAAAGTCGGTGTTTTCATTGCTTTTGAATCTGTTACAACTTCAAACGTTACAACAAGAATGCAACCAAAACAAAGATTACAACTTTATCGAAAATAAACACGAGATCCCGTTTTGGTGCGGTCTCGCTTGCGTGGGTCTTTGGCCTGTGACGGGGATGTTGATATTCGTGGACCACCGGGGCAATCAGATCCGGTCCGGATAAATCGGACAGAGTTTCATCGATCCACGTGAGATCTAGAAACTTCTAATCCAGAAATATCGGACAGAGCTTCGTCGATCCGCGTGAGATCTAGAATATTAATCCCGATCTATGTATGATCAGAATACAACTAGTCTACATCTCATAAAACCAACAAAGTCCACCATAAAACACACACGCATATTATTCTTGTTTTACATGTTATTTGAATTGGGGAAGAATATTTTGATGTATATAATCGGGTCCCCGTAAAGTCGTCCGGGGGCCGCCTTCAAGTCAAGTATTGGCCCTCTGGCCCATATATATGTTTTCGGTGAAAGTCGCTGTTTGTTACAACTTTATCGAAAATAAACACGAGATCCCGTTTTGGTGCGGTCTCGCTTGCGTGGGTCTTTGGCCTGTGACGGGGATGTTGATATCCGTGGACCACCGGGGCAATCAGATCCGGTCCGGATAAATCGGACAGAGTTTCGTCGATCCACGTGAGATCTAGAAACTTCTAATCCAGAAATATCGGCCAGAGCTTCGTCGATCCGCGTGAGATCTAGAAGCTATAAGCGTATACCTCGGCTAAAGCGAGGTATTAGCTCTTCTTAGTATTAACGCTAAAGGCTAATACTAAGGATCAGAGAGAACGGGTGATGAAGGCTGATTTAGACCTCTCCTCCTCGGTTGAAGCGCTCGATCACTGTTTGCTGCAGCAGGGCTTCGCCAAGGCTCTCCAAAAATCCAGATCCTTCCAAATGAGGTAAGGGGGTCTATTTATAGGTAAATGGGGGCTTGGGGCGTCTGCACAGATCTAGGACACCCCAGGGGTGTCTGCACAGATCTGAGACACCCTTGGGGTGTCTCCAAAAATCCGAGACACCCCTAGGGTGTCTCGGAATTTCCGAGACACCCTTGGGGTGTCTCGGAAATTCCGAGACACCCCTAGGGGTGTCTCGGCTTTTCCGAGACACCCCTAGGGTGTCTCGGATTTTCCGAGACACCCTAGGGTGTCTCGGAAATTCCGAGACACCCCTGGGGTGTCTCGGAATTTCTGAGACACCCCTGGGGGTGTTTCGGGATTCCGAGACGTCCGTAGGTGCGTTTTGGTCGTTTCCCCGTAGATTCTTCGTACGAACTCGGATTTGAGTGATTCCGGGTGCGTTGGATGCGTGACGAAGAGTTCGATCCG